AGATGACGGCAGTGGTGCATTGCTTGCGATTATGGCGGCACTACTTATTGGGGGCCAAATTTGTAGTGCGGACTGATAATGTGGCCACATCCTACTTTCAAAGCCAAAAGAAGTTAAGCCCGAAACAAGCTAGATGGCAAGACTTCTTGGCAGAGTTCGATTATGAGCTGGAGTATGAGCCAGGCAAGGCTAACTCCGTGGCTGACGCCTTAAGCAGAAAAAGCTACACTGGCTGCCATCAGTGAAGTGCGCACAGAGCTGCTACCTCACATTCGGATGGCATGGCAAGCGACCCGACCGCGCAATCCATACTGGAGCATGCCACGGTAGGCAAGACCAGGCGGTTTTGGGTAAAAGAGGGGCTAATGTACACCAAGGGCAATAGGCTCTACGTTCCGCAGCATGGGGGCTTGCGGAAACAGCTACTGAAAGAATGCCACGACAGCCCTTGGCAGGCATCCGGGGATGCATCGGACGATGGCATTGGTAAGCGCCAGTTATTACTGGCCCAGAATGGAAGATGACATTGAAAGCTATGTCGGACCTGCTTGGTGTGCCAACAAGACAAGGTTGAGCAGCAACGACCAAGGGGATTACTCAACCCACTGCCAATACCAGAAAAACCATGGGACAGCGTAAGCATGGATTTCATCATGGGGCTGCCCAAGGCAGATGGGTTCGGTAGCATTATGGTGGTGGTGGATAGATTTTCGAAATATGCCACCTTATACCAGCCTCAAAAGAATGTCCTGCGGAAGAAGCAGCCAAGTTGTCTTAAAGAAACATTGTCAAATACTGGGGCGTTCCGCACACCATCATCAGCGATCGGGATGGCCGATTCACGAAAAAAATTCTGGACTGAATTATTTAAGCTGTTGGGGTCTGAATTGTGCTTTTCCACCAGCAACCACCCACAGACGGATGGACAAACCGAGCGGGTGAATGTATTGTTGGAGCTCTACTTAAGGCACTTCGTGAGGGCACGCAGTCCGACTGGCCAAAGTGGCTTGACATAACACAATTCTCGCATACCTACAGCGCAGCGAGTCCACCGGTCAAAGCCCGTTCGAAATCGTGATTGGAACAACCCACACACCAAGTGCCATTGCCGTGGGCTATACAGGTGTCGCACCAGCGCATACAAAACCGCTAGGGGCTGGAAGAGTAGCGGACTTAGCTCGAACGTGTCTCCACAAAGCTGCAAAAGAGGCAAAGAAGTGGGCAGATCAAACCCACTGGAAGCTCACTTCAGCGAAGGGGACATGGTGATGGTGAAGCTACACCTTGTTTTGAGGAACAAAGGCTTGCACAAGGCCTTGTTAGAAGGTACGAGGCCCATATCGGGTAATCAAGAGAATCGGCCAGGTGGCATACAAGTTGGACTTGCTGCTCAAGCCAAAGGTGCATCCGTATTTCATGTCAGCATGCTGAAGCCTTACCATGCAGATAAAGAGGACCCTAGCCGAAGGGTGAGCAACAGGGCACCAGTAGGCATTCGAGCAGCGTACGACAAAGAGGTAGAAGAAATGCTGGCCGATAGAATACTTCGACGGAAGCATCACATGCCTCAACATCAGTACCTGGTGAAATGGAAGGGATTGCCGAGAGTGAAGTTAGTTGGGAGTCTGCAGAAGATTTGTGGCAGTTCCAAGATTGGATAACGCCTTCCACACGGCAGCGAGGACGCTGCCAGCTTAGGCGGGGGAGGGTGTCACGGGCCACAGTCCAGACCCACCAGGAGGCCCAAGAGGTGACACAGTCCAGACCCACCAGGAGGCCCAAGAGGTGACACAGTCCAGACCCGCCAGGAGGCCCAAGAGGGTGCCAGCCCACTAGACCCATGTAAGGGGGGCTGCTGAAAAATTCAAATTTTCCCTCCCAACCGAACTTCTAGAACCTCCCAAATGTTTTGGAGGGAAATATTTTGGGGGGAATACTTTGAATTGAAAACTTTGGAGGGAAAAGTGGGTGGGGAACCTTGGCTATAAATAGCCCCATCCACCATTGTGTAAATCATCCATTAGAATCCATTCTTGCATCCTTTGTATTTCAATTCATTCAATATAGAGTTTAGTTTTTCTCTAGCATTCTCTTCTCATTTTTCCTTCCTTGTTTATGCAAGCTTGCTTGCCGGCTTAAAGCCATTGTGCGGGTGTTGAGCGCTTGTCGGGTGAGTAAGGCTGACTTGGGTTCTACTGCGAGCTAAGGGCTGAATCCAAGGCCGCACGAAGGTGGTCTTAAGTATCGTCCCGTGACAATAGGCTGATGTCATATGTTTACCTCAAAAAAGCCCATAGAATTTGGGCTTAAACCCAAAATACTACCAATATATCCAAACCACAAGGCCCAAAAAATAACACTACATAAATCTCCATCTTCAAAACTTTTTGCCGCCGCAATCCTCAACCATGGTCATCACACCCTCCACCACCAAAGCCCATGCCATTCCTCACCGCAAACGAGCTAGGCTCCCTCTTGGTATCCGCCATCTCCACGCACTCCCTCCTCTTCGGCAGAGCCACGCATGCCCACATTCTCAAAAGTCTCCAAATCCCTCTCCCTTCTTTCCTCTCGAACCACCTCATCAACATGTACTCCAAATTCAACCTTCTCACCTCTGCGCACCTCGTCCTCTTACAAACCCCATCCGAGTCCCGTTCTGTCGTCACTTGGACGGCCCTCATTTCAGGTCACGTCCAAAACGGCCATTTCGCTTCCGCTCTCATCCATTTTTCCCACATGCGAAAAGAACCCATCTCTCCCAATGATTTCACCTTCCCTTGCGCCTTCAAGGCCTCCGCTGCACTTCGATCACCTGTTGTGGGAAAACAACTTCACGCGCTGGCTTTGAAGTCTGCTCAGATTTTTGATTCCTTTGTTGGGTGTAGTTGCTTTGACATGTATATGAAAACGGGGCTTAGAGGTGAAGCGAGGAAAATGTTTGATGAAATGCCTGAGAGAAGCGTCGCAATGTGGAATGCGAATATTTCTAATGCGGTACTTGACGGGAAACCTTGTATTGCGGTGGATGTTTTTATTCAGTTTAGAAGGGTTGGTGGGGAGCCAGATCCGATTACGTTTTGTGTCTTCCTTAATGCGTGTTCAGATGCTTTTTATTTGGAACTAGGGAAGCAGTTACACGGTTATGTGATTAGAAGCGGTTTTGATGGGAATTTGTCAGTATGTAATGGGCTTGTTGATTTCTATGGGAAGTGTAAAGAGGTGGAATCTGCAAAGATGGTTTTTGATGGAATGGGGAAGAGAAATGAGGTTTCTTGGTGCTCATTGGTGTCTGCTTATGAGCAAAATTATGAGGAAGAGAATGCTTTTGAAGTGTTTTTGGCGGCAAGGGAAGAAGGGGTTGAGCCTACGGATTTTATGGTTTCAAGTGTTATCAGTGCTTGTGCAGGGATGTCAGGCCTTGAGTTCGGTAGGTCAGTTCATGGGCTTGCTGTTAAGGCTTGTGTTGAAGGGAATGTTTTTGTTGGGAGTGCCCTCATTGATATGTACGGTAAATGTGGAAGCATTGAGGATGCCGAGCAAGCTTTTTATGAGATGCCTGAGAGGAATTTAGTTACTTGGAATGCAATGATTGGTGGATATGCACATCAAGGGTGTGCTGATATGGCTTTGCCATTGTTTCAAGACATGATGTCTTGTGGTGTTGTTCCAAATTATGTGACTTTGGTTTGCGTATTATCGGCTTGTAGCAGGGGAGGGGCAGTGAAATTGGGAATGGAGATTTTTGAATCAATGAATGAGAGGTTTCACATTCAACCAGGGGCAGAGCATTATGCTTGTGTTGTGGACTTGCTAGGGAGAGCTGGGATGGTGGAGTGTGCTTATGATTTTATAAAGAAAATGCCCATTGCTCCAACAATTTCTGTCTGGGGGGCTCTTTTAAATGCTTGTAGGGTGTATAAAAAACCAGAATTGGGGAGGATAGCTGCTTATAAACTATTTGAACTTGATCCTAAAGATTCTGGCAACCATGTGTTGCTATCTAATCTGTTTGCATCTACTGGCAGGTAAGGTCATCCCTTGAAAACGTATGATAAAGGTTAAACTCCAGGAAATTTCTAGTCATTAGGATCTTAGAATTAAAGTATTTTTAAACTTCTTTCTTTACCAGTACTTGTGTTTTTTTTGTTAGCTAACTATTATAGAGACTAATGTAGGTGGGAAGAGGCTGATCTTGTGAGGAAGGAGATGAAGGATGTCGGAATCAAAAAGGGTGCAGGTTGCAGTTGGATCACTGTAAAGAACAAGGTCCACACCTTCCAGGCAAAGGATACTTCACATGAAATGAATTCAAAGATTCAAGAAATTTTGGCTAAACTCAGGAGAGAGATGAAATCGGCTGGCTACATTGCAGATACCAGCTTCGCCCTCTATGATTTAGAGGAAGAAGAGAAAATATCAGAGGTTGGGTACCACAGCGAGAGAATTGCACTAGCCTTTGGTCTTATAGTTATACCACCTGGAGTACCTATAAGAATCACAAAGAACCTCAGAATCTGTGGAGATTGCCATAGTGCCTTCAAGTTTATGTCAGGCATTGTTGGAAGAGAGATCATTGTGAGAGATAATAACCGATTTCATCGCTTCAGGGACGGGCAATGCTCTTGTAGAGATTATTGGTGAATAATTGATATGCTCATCAATTTTTTATTTCTCATTATTTGAACTTGATTTCCATTTTTCCAGCTTAAACTATTTTCTCAGGGTAGTGGAAACTAGGCATATACTTACAGATACATACCTCACGTTATAACCATCTGTTAAGTAAATTCACATGTCCTTTTTTCATAGCTGAGTTTGGAAGGTGATTTTGTACTTGACAATTCTTTTTCTTTTAATTTTTCTTTTTTGTTAAAAGATAATTATAGCTACCAAAGCATTTATTGGATTGCCACAAGAAAATAAATATTTGTTAACATCCAAAAATATAGATTTGGGCTCCGTTCTATCAATATAAACGGCGCCGTTTCCTGTAGCTAAGTAGCTATATGAAGCAGTGCCGTCTCGAATTTTTGAACAAAGAAACAAAGTTTTCAGAAAAAAAAAGAAAATGGCAGTGGCAAAAGCAGCTTGCGTTAACCACATCTCCAGAGAATCCTCCGACATTAGACGTCTCGCTGATTTCTACAAAGAGGTTGTTTCTTATGGACTTATCTTTTTATCAGTAACGTTTCATTGAGGTTTTAGCTGCTTTTATTTGTGTTTTAGATCTTTGGGTTCGAGGAGATTGAGAGCCCAAACTTCGAGTTTAAGGTAATCTGGCTGAATCTCCCGGGAGCGGTCCCTATGCACCTGATCGAAAGGAGCCCACTCACGAAGCTTCCCGAAGGTCCCTACAGTGCGACTTCAGCTGTTGCTGACCCCAGCCATCTCCCCAGAGGTCATCATATTTGCTTCACGGTCTCCAATTTCGATTCTTTTGTTCAGTCTCTCAAGGTACCCCTTTAATTCTGCGCTCTTTGTTCTGGGTCCTTTTTTCCTACTTTCGTAAATAGCTTGTCATTCTGGTAGAATTGATAAAATTTTAGATGTTCTTCTTAAAACTTAGGACTATAAATTGGGAATTGAGGGAATTGAAGATGTCATTTTTATATGGTTAAAGGCAAAGGAACATAAGATGAGAAGGAGATATCCTTGGTTGAGCTCTGGCGATTGCGATTATTAAAAGGAGTCTTTTTTATTTCAGTAGTTGCGATTATCCATTTCCTGTTGACATTGTGGGATATTGGGTTAATACAGGATAAAGGTATAGAGACTTTTCAGAGGTCCCTGCCCGATGGGAAGGTCAGACAGGTCTTCTTCTTTGATCCAGATGGTGAGTTTTTGACTTTTTGGTTAGTACTATAGTATTTTGTTAAAGGCTTTTATTTATAGAGGATCATGTTCTGAGCATCCTGGTAAGTACACTACTATCCAACCCTCTGAAACACCGCGCAAACAAAAACCCCCTTTCGCCTTGTTTCATTTGCATGTATGTACACCACTTTGAATATCAAACTTCAGTAGTGTAAAGTGTTGGGGTGCTGATTGCTCCTAGGATGTTTACTATTTTTGTAATGGTCTTGCCTATTGCCATTTTCAGGTTCATATTTGATAATTGAACTTTGATGTGCAGGTAATGGATTGGAGGTTGCCAGTAGGGAAGATCCATAGCAATAGGTGGGGCATTTGAAGTTTGAATACATCTATGCAAAACTAATAGATCCGCCGAAGGACAATTACATGCAACTGAACATTTTTCTTGCTTGCTGTTGCAAGGGTAATAATATCTATGAAATATCTGTGGATGTTTTTGTGTGACCTTTACAAATGCTTTTTCTTCCGTAACGATGCATCCTTTGGCATTTCACTAGTGCTAATGTTGATTGCCTGATCAAGGATGTAGTTTGGGTGTATATGTCCTTTGATGGCTAATTATTAGATTACGAGCCTATTACTCAAATTCGGTGGCAGGACTCATCTTTCTCTATGATGATGATTATAAGATAATGAAATGACTGGCTTGAAGGGACAGGAATCCCCATGTCCAATTACTATCTCTTCGGCTACTGGGTTAACAGGCTTGGTTTTTTCAGTAGACAAGTAGGAAAACTGTGCCATGCCCTGTGGCAGTTAAGCTTAATTTGCGAACAACTTTTTCCCAATTACTTTATTTACAGAGGATTTCATTAGCCCATTTCCCCTTTTTCTTTTTCTTGTTTCATGCAAATTAAAAGGTATAACAAAAGAAAATTAGTGTTGGCTTGGCTTTTGCAACCTAGCAGGAGATTGAGGTGGTTGGGTGTCTTGGATGCTAGAAAACCGAGAACAGCTTGTCTTGTTTCTCCCTAGTTTCACATTTCAAAGACTGAGCTGTGGCGCAAAGGATGGAAATGGACTGAAAAAAAAGTGATCATCTTTAGTCAATAGTTCTCTCTCTCAAAAAAATCCCGTTCCTCTTCTTGGAATGTGCAAAAGAAGCATATTTCCAAGATCTGCCACTTCAAAACGGTAATTCATTTGTTTCAAGGGTAAAAAAAAAAAGGTAGTACCACTACTAGCTAAATTTCACTTTACAAGAAAGGGGGAAAATTATCTGATTTATTACTATTAATTAGATAGTCAAATATCCATAATCCATGTTGTCTATCCTTCTACTATCTTTTTCCATCATTTTTCATCTTTTTTGTTTTCTTTGTTATCCTTTTACCCACATTTTCTTTGCTTTTACTCCCCTTAGCATTCCACCAACATAATACAGCCAATTAAAACAAAAAAATCTACTTGAACAAGATAAAGGTGCAGAATAAGCATACAAGCTACGAGATTCTATCTAGCAATTAAATAGAAAAAGCGCATTCATTATTATCAAATATGAAACAGATAGAGATGGGGGGTAACCTAGAAGCTTAGAGTTGTTTCCAGCTCGTAGTTCTAGCCAGGGTGACTCTCCTCTGCTATGCCGTCAAACTGCCATCTGTAACAATTATCTTCCATGTGTCTCTGATCCTTCAGACACCTCCCTAGTTTACAACATAGAACCATGCCAATTGAACCACCACGTGTACATTCACGTGTCAACATCTAGCCAAGTGTCAACGCCCCCCAAGACTCCAATACAGCTGGCAATCCCCTCTATATACGCTCTATACAGAGGTTGCCCCTAAAACACCAAAGAGTGACAAGAACCCCGACAGTACCGAATTGTATTGCTCGAAATACAGTCAAGAGCAGCGTTGTCACTGACCGAAGATGAGCCAGGGACAGTCAAGGAGGCCTCAAGCAGCAGATCAACGTGAGAGCCAACCCATCAAATACGGAGATGTTTTTAACGTAACAGGTGAGCTCCCCAACAAGCCTATTGCACCTCAAGATGCAGCCATGATGCAGACAGCTGAAACCGGGGTGCTAGGTCAGACCCAGAAAGGCGGAACAGCTGCTGTCATGCAAGCTGCAGCTACACGAAATGAGCGAGCTGGTATTGTCGGTCACAATGATATCACAGACATGGCCGGCGATCAAGGCGTCAGCGTCTCTGAAACAGATGTTTCAGGCCGCCGTATAATCACAGAATTAGTTGCTGGACAGGTCTCTCTTCCTTCTTCCTTAATTTCTATATATATTGACATGAACTTCCACTTTACTCTTACATTGCAATTTATGTTTTTTGTTTTGTTTTAGGTTGTTGGACAATATGTTCAAGCCACGCCAGTTCCGACAACTCAAATTGGGGTTATTCAGCAAACTGCAATAACTATAGGGGAAGCTCTTGAAGCGACGGCCCAAACAGCCGGTGATAAACCTGTTGATGAAAGCGATGCGGCAGCAATTCAAGCAGCAGAGGTGAGAGCAACAGGTTCAAACGTTATAATCCCAGGTGGACTCGCAGCTACAGCTCAGTCTGCGGCGGCTCATAATGCTTCCGTGAACCGCAATGAGGAAAAGATCCGTCTCAATGAAGTTTTAACGGTACATAATTACTTGGGGTATTTCTTCCATTGCAGAATTTCGATTGATGTTGAAGGGTTTGTATTTGAGAGTTATGAGATTTTATTCACAGGGTGCGTCTGCGAAGTTGCCAGCGGATAAGGCAGTGACAAGGCAGGATGCTGAAGGAGTAGTGAGTGCACAACTGAGAAACAATCCGAATGTAGCAACGTGTCCAGGTGGAGTAGCTGCTTCTATTGCTGCAGCTGCCAGGCTGAACGAGAACGCTAACATTTAATCACAGTTATATATAGCTATTATAGTTATAATGCTGGCCTGTGAAAAGTTTCGTCTAGACTCTAGCTTACAAAATGGTGCATATTTTTGTAAAATATGAAACGAATAATGCAGAAACGTTTTTGTTTTTGGGTCAACGATCCTAAATTTTGGGACTTTATCTGTATACCAGTCTACGCCCGCATCAGGCAATAGGATTTGGGAATTGCCGGGCGCTGGTGAGGAAATTTTGGGCTCAATGAATGGTTAAGAAGATGGACTTCTAGTGGGCTAACTCCAGAAATTGGGCCCTATGCTTTAACCGGTAAGGCTCTAGGATCTCGAGGGAATCTTTGCTGTCTCAGTCTCTCTTCCCTCTAAACAGAGACTGCAGTCACAAGTTTCTATAAACGACTCATGCACTCATAAGGTGATTAAAGTTAAAACTGTCTTACCCGAATCAGTGATTGTTTCGAAAATATAATAAAACTCAAATCTATTAGATGAGGATGATTGTCAGCATAACCAAGAAATGAACTGGATCTGAAGGAGAAGAGGATAGGATCCTGATGGACGGTGCCCCCACTTCTACAGCTCGGTTGTGTACCTCCACATTTGAAGTAAAAGATCACGGAAAAGCTTTGATTCAAAAAGGGAGGGAAAGCACCCTGGTTTTTACAATTTTTTAAGATATTTGGAAATAAATGAAGTCACAAGGGGGGACCTGGTAGTTTTTCTTCCTAGGAACAAGAGGCCTGATGCCCTCGTGAGCCCCTTTTTTCTCATTGTAAGGACAATCATGGAGTACCCAAAAAAAAAAAAAAGAGAGTCTCATAAGCTCCCATGCAGGGACAGAGAAGGTGACGCTGAAACCCACCCACAAAAAGCAGGCAGTTCGGTTTTCATTCACGTTTGCATAAGCTGCCACAACCTTGTCTTTCTCTACCTATAAAGATAGGATGCTATGGTCATTTTACAATCAAAAAGCTTTTTCTAGCTATCTGCAGCAAACATTGCTGTGGTAAATTGGGATGAACTTTAGCATGTTGCACAATTGAAGTGTATATGGGCCACAGACTTGCAGGGATTTTGCATCAAATTGGACGGTCTGTGATGATATTTCAGATGTATCTGCTAGATATTGCTTTGACTCTGAACTAAATAAAGGAGTCCGAGTCCTGTTCAATTTTACCCCCTTGAAAACACAAATTTGGGTAGAAAAAACTTATCAGGATGACAATAGACAAAATTTCCATGGTTTTAAGTTACAAGAGATTTCAGACTAATTATTGCAGAAAGCATGTGAAGCTTCTAAATAGGATGATACTGCTTTTACCATTGTGTCTGATAAACTTTCTTTTCTTCACTTTCTATCTACAATTATTTATCACAAAAATGAATGCAATTATGACTGCTGAAGCTGAAAGTGTGTAAGAAAGGGAATATATGAAAGATTCGAGAGTAATAGTACTCCCAACATATATGTCCAACGAGTAAAACTTGTAAGCAAGTCCCTTGCCGAAAAACTTTAGAAAGTCCATATAGAAACAAATTACTAAAGCAGTGTCTTAATTTCGCCATTGATCCAGTTTTCAACATTAGTTCACATTAATGAAACACCTAAGCTAAGCATTAGTAGGAATATAATGATTTAACAAATCTTTGCCCAATATCTACACTTGCCAAATGTCTCATACTCTAATTTAGTACCTAACAGTCAAAGGTCAAAACTAGGGAGAAGAGTACAATTCTGGCATAAGTTTGGATATCTCAAGAGTTACTCCCCTGCCATGGGGAATGGTGTGTGAGCCCTTTATTGTCCGTTGAGTAGCTGTTAAGCTAGTTAGCTAGGAAAGCAAAGGTGTAGAAAGGAAATTTTCGAGGTACCATGCAAAAGTAGTAAGTATCTCATTTTGTGTCATAGTATAACCTTCAATCTTTGGTGGTCCAAACAAAACCTGAATCTCTCTCACAAAAAGAAGTACAGAAAAGAACTCGGGGGTGGGAAAAAGATGCACAAGTGATTTTCCTTTTTCTCTCCATAAAGGATAAACCTTTATGAAAATAATCAAATCTCACTTTTCACAGCTAACTTTACAGCCCTGGATGACAGGGTGAAAATACCCTCTACTCACATAAGACCCTTCCTCTTATATATGCAAAGCACAATACGCAACTGTAGCCCAATATAAACGCCAAAATGAAAATCTTAGCTGCCCTCCTGGCTTAGTGTTTTTTCCCTGAATAAAAACCCCACCATCCCACCTCTTGTCTTTCTAGTTTTTATCTTCAAATCTCCCACCCATTCTCCCCTGCCTCTTCGCTGGAAAATGTCGAATATCTTCTGGAAAAACTTTCATCTCTGCTTCACGAAGCTGAAATCGGAACATGCATCTTCCATCTTACCACCATCTCCCACAAAACATGATGAGACCACTTCATCGAGGACACTTCTCCTCAAGAACTTCAACTCCCTTTATGACATGTCTTCATCAGCCTCAACCTCCAAGTCCCTTATGACTCCCTCCACTGACGCCGACTTCCTGTCCTCCGACTCTGACTCTGACGCCGAGTCGCCCCCTGATTTCGCCACCGTATTCGCTTCCCAGCGCTTCTTCTTCTCCTCTCCAGGCCGTTCCAACTCCATCGTTGAGTCAACTGACACAAGACCAGAAGCAGAGTCTAGTACAGAGACACCGACGCTGGATGGAGGCGTTGCGGTCAAGAAATACTCGCCGGACCCTTACAAAGATTTCAGGTTTTCAATGCAAGAAATGATCGAAGCAAGAAACCTAACTGACGTCAAGGAGGACTGGGAGTTTCTGCATGAACTACTCCTTTGTTACCTTATCTTAAACCCCAAAAACACCCACAAGTTTATTGTTAGTGCTTTTGCTGATATTGTTATTAGCTTACTGTCATCATCCCCGGATTCTGATAGCCATCCGAGACCTGAAAACCACCGCCGGTGATGCTCTCTTTTCCTTCTCTTTTTTTCCTAGTTAGAAAAAAAAAAAACCAATGAAAAGAATATTGGCGGTTGTTTTTGTTTTTTGGACTCTTGCATGCGAATTAATTACTTTGTCTTTGGTAAAAAAGGCATGTTGGATGCAAAAGGACAAAGAAATTAATGTCTCCGATAATTGAAGTATCAAGGAAGCATGGGATGTTGATGTCTCGAGGCATGTTGCTGTAATTTTTGTACGTTGGCTGTGTTATGTAAAAAAATTGTGTTGATTACGGCCTGAGGGCATACCAAAAAAATGGCGTTAAGTGTTCCTCCTTGGTTGATTGGCAAATGGTGATTGATTTCTTGGGGGAGGCAAAAGTTCGTTTATTGTTCTTGAACTTGTCTGTGGTCCACATGCGCATTTCACTTGTTGGCAAGTTTTGCACACACAACCACGAGGTGCCTAGCTTTATAGAGTTTATGTTTCGGACAACTTAGCTGCTACATGTCGGGTCGTCTATTGATGGTTGTTGTAATAATTAAAGTCCAATTGTAAGGATAGTTGTGCAGTTTTGTTATTTTTCAATGTCAAATCTTGGGCACAAAAATAATCCATTAATAAAACAAAAGACAAACAATGCAGAAGCAAACAAAGTTTACAAATGATCATAAGCTCTTGTAGAATGGTCTTCTCTTCCTCCTTACGTGAATGAGGATTTTTCTACAAGACCTTAGAGTGGATCTTAACATAGCTTAACGATGTGCCCTTTGTTGCAATAAGCTAAACCCAAAGGAGCTCCCAATGCTCAAGGGCTGGAATTTATAAAGTCCAAAGTTTTGGACTGTAGTGTTAAGTAGAAAATGAGCATTTAAAAGCCCTAAAAATTGAATGGAGGAGAGCAATGGATGGAATTTTTATAAAGAATATATTAAGGGAATAGAGAGGGTGGTTTGCTCTTTTACATATTTTATAGGCGATAGAAACCAGAAAGGGGAGACAAAGCAAGAGGATCCAAAGAGGGATGCTAACAACTGCAAGAAAAGAATGAACTAATGCTTTAATTTTTACCATAATTAATTAATCATCATCCCTAAAGTTAGTTGGTTTAGGTAAGGTTAACACCAGACCATTTGTCCTCAAGTGTCTCCATTATTAAATATAAGTCCTATTTTAATACAAGTTCTTGAGTCTTTTGACATTTGGTGCAATGTGAGAGTACCCCACGATTGAATGTCAAAATGTACCAATTTTATATATTAAGATAATGATATTTATTTGGCAAGACTACTAAAAAATGTTCATCTATTTTATATAGACTTGATAACACTTTAGCTTATTACTGTTCAGGCAACTGAGGGAAGTGGGTAACCAATGAAGCTAAGAAGAAAAGAATTCTGATAAGAAGAGATTGATATGAAGCCAAATGTAGAGTTCGCAGATGTAGCTATAAGCAGGTAATCCCAAATACTAAACCATGTATGGAGAATCTTAATATTGCCTGTGGTTGTGGTTTACTAGTAAAAGACACAGTTTTGGACCAAGAGCCTGAACAGGAAAAGTGTAACATGCTTGGGAGCTTTACCTACCCAACAAAAAATTTAACCAGCAATTCTACAAATACCCAAATGGATTATTTTATCAGCACATTGCTTTTAGCACTAGGATGGTGGCCTTTCAGCCCCAGGATTTCCTCTAAAATCTAAAGTACTTCCCAAAGAATCTTAATTATACTATTAATTTCTCAAGAAAGAAAAGGTATATTCATAGACCAAGATGTGGTATCTTTACTTGGCTATGTTCAATATTCAAGTCTCTTGCTTCTTCCAAAATACTACAAGGAGGTCAATTTCAGAAAGTGGGTCCAATACACATAAATAAGTAAACAGGAAATTGTAAACTCAATAATCCACATCTTGTTGACAAAGACTTGAGCTTTTTGGAGCAAGCTCCATTTCTCATCATTCACAAGAGCGTTCATCTTGTAATGTACCAAACTGTAGCTGCGGGCGTTGATTTACTGACTCTCTTGAAAATTGAAACTTGACATATCACCCATTTTTCAGAGACTCTAGCTTGCTCCTTGTCACCTGCCAAGTAATAGAAATTATACTACAAGCAATAAGTCAATAGCCTTTCCATCAGCCCATTCATATAAGAAATCAAATTCACATCATGTGAGCTGATCATTTTTTATGAACTAAGTCGGTATAGGTAACAACAAATGTTGCCCTGTCTGCTCCACATGGTCATATGTCAAGAGCTATATGAGTTAACTTCTCTTTTTGTATTTTTGGCATTGCAACCCATATAAGCACTGAAAAGATCAGCTACTTTTTGAATGTCTGATTAACACTTTGGAGCAATGCCAATAGAAAAGGTGAACACCAATGAAACTTGATATGACCTGTTGATGTCAAATAATTGCAAAATAATTCAAAGGGAGATCACTGAAAAAACAGACTGATGAAACACAAATCCAAACGAAAGTGGTTGTCAGGCTATGCAATGGTTTGAGGATCTCAATCAACTCTCTAAACTGATTTCTTGGACCTAGAGATCTTTTCTTTGGGCCCCATTGGACACTGCTGCGCACTAGCTTGAACTTTAAACGGCAGAAGCAAAGCAACCCCACTTGCATATAATATTGTATATTATAAAGCAGGTTTGATAGTAGATTGTGTTGCAAGTTTAAAACATGTGAAAGACAGAAAACAGCTAGCTTTGGGGAGTTGATGAAATGGGGTTGTTTAATTTTTCTTCCCTCAAAAATGTACTGCCAAGGATTCATTCTGTCAAAAATTGTTTGCATATGGAGATCTGCTGCTTATTATCTTGTTGATAAGTTACTATTTGGGCTCCTGTTTCATGGGTTTTTCTTCCTCGGGAATTGGATTTTTTTTTCAAGTTTGATGATTTGAATAGCATTTGCTGTTGACGATGCAATAGCCATTGCCACTTGTTTGAAAACGGCATTGAACAGTGCGCACTTGCACGCCAAACACTTTAAATCCATTTGCTCATTGTTTTGACCTGAATGGACATCAACCATACACATAAAATATGGAGTTCGGATTTGGATCTTCTTAGACATTGAAAGTGTTATGATTGATTGTTCGCCGCTCCAAGAAGCTCGCTTATTGGACGTATGCCAATCTCTAGAAATTTAAAATGCATATCCTATCGTCAAAGCCTTGATATAGTTTCTGCAAAATGAAACGAATAAACAAATAGGTAAGATAAGAAACATGCATGGGATTTATATGGAGCTCGAAGAGATCCCATTTTCATAAATGGAATGGTTTGATATTATATAATTACGTATAATCTTGTGGACTTAACCAGTTTGGACTTAAAGCTTTCTGCAAACTTGCCCTTAGGCCCATATACTTTTATAAAATTAAATTGATATAAGTTTTTGTTGATATAATATCTAAATTTTTTTAAAATTATTTAATAAAATTTAAATAAGTTTTATATTTTTATTACATTTAATTAAACTCTTATACTTTTATTTTAAGTCAAAAAAATTTTTATATTTTTATTTTGAATCAAATAAAATATTATGACTAATAACTGTTTTAGTCAAAATACCATTTATCTATTTTTTACATCAAACGCTAACGTGGCATGTTAACATATCATAATTAATGATTATGTACTATGTTGATATATCATAATTGATAATGACATGACATGGTAATTTGACATTATAATATGATCATGCGATATTTTTCACCTTCTACATAATATCATGTGGATATAAAATGACAAGTGACATTTTAAATAATAATAATTAATCATAAAGGTTTATCTGATCTCAAATAAAAATACAAAGACTTGATTGAACTTAATAAAATAATAAAAATATATTTAAATTTTCTTAAATAACTTAAGAGCTTATTTGAGTATTATGTCAAACTTATTCTTATCTAATTTGATAATATTCTTAAATTTAATTAAAATTAAAATTAAATAAAGATAAATTATGTAAATCTAGGTCAAAATTTTGTTGTCCAGTCCTGGCCTATTGGCAATAGTGCTTTATTTTTACTCAATTTCTTACCACCAAGGAGAAATTTCCAATCATTTTTATGTTATATATGGGGCATGTAGTTTTTTTGGCATGAAGTTCTCAAGTATTTTTGGTGATCTCTCTTACCCTCACAATGTAAAAACAAAGGAAGTTATCCTTAATTTATCTAGTATCTATGCAGGTAGTCAACTTTTTTACAAGGTTAACAATGGAGAAAAAATGTCTACAGCAAACAGAGTCAAGCTACTATCAGATGCAAGTAAGACCTTCATTTCCTTTCCTATCTTCCATCTGCAGAACGCTCCATTGTTTTAAAACTAGAGCAGAGTAAGTTAAAATTACTCCTCTTACAAGGCATTTAGCTTGCAACTATCTAAAGTGAAAGTTAAACTTCCCTCTGCAGTTGTGACAACTATCATTTCCCAGACCATAATCTCTAATAGGGGATAGTTTCCAGCAACTCCTGAATGAAATTAGGAAATTTAATTGGGATTGCAAAAAGGTATTAGAAAAATCCCCAGGCACACAAAAAA